AAGGGCTTTGTGGTTGGGTCAAATTGGAATAATTACATTCCAGTATCACTGAGACTGAAACAGAGACCAGATAGTCCAAGCAAATAGGCTTTCAGGGTCATAGAGTCTAGTTAAATGTCCTTTGCTCTGGTTGTATTTCCTTCTTCCCCGAAGAAACAGGAACCCTAAGAAGATATGAAATCTGCTCCATTAACAGTCTATAAAGTTCTGAACAAAAAGAACTGCCTGGAGCTTCTTGGGTACACCTGCATGCTTCCATGAGAAAACCAAGATGCAGAGAGACCTCACAGAGGTGGAGAAAGGAAGTATTCACTCACTGTGCTGGTGCAGTATTTGGAGCTAGCTGGCAAGAGCTACGTAAATAAATTTAAATGCTTGAATCCTGGCATAGGAGTGAGAAGACCCAGAAAAGATAGACGCTTGCAAGATTGTAAAGGAAACGTGGGGTTACAGAACAAGTGGGATGCTGTGAAGAGCCAGGGGTAGGACTATTTGCTGAGGTTCAGTTTTACAAAAGTCATTACTTAATTTGGGCTCAAGGTGCTGAGTGAAGTGATTTCCATGTGGTTGAGAAACACAAGGGAATTTGTGTAGTGTGAATGTGAAACTATTGTGTGGCATGAATGCATTGGATGCAGGAGACTCAAGCTCTGAGCGTTGTAGACTTGAGTGATAGAGGCAGCAATGAGGCTGTGTGACCTGAGTCACCCAGAGAAAGTCAGCAAACAAAAGTCAGCAGAGGATTCTTATCCTTTGTGGTAATAAGGCTGCCTGAGAACATTTTTCTACCCATTAGATGCTTTCTCCTCTCTCTTCCCCAGAGATACCTAAAGGATGAGTTTAAGGGAGAATATAGAGAAATACTAGTTTGAATTAATTTTTAAATGTAAGCAAAACTAAGTCAACCTATGAACTCCTGCCCAAAATGCTGCTATCGTTTGCAGCAAGATTACAGAATGGGTAGTGGAGTCTTGTGGTGCCTTCTTAATTTCTCTCACTCTATGTGAATGCGTTACATATAAGGTATATATTTAGCCAAACTGGAGCATTATGTGTGACTTGGTGATAAGAATGTTTAAAAAGTGAAAACTAAAGAGAAATCTTTTTTTTTAAAAGAGAAATCTTTCAGCAAAATTATCTCATTTATTTCTCATTATCCTTGTAACTGTGTTATCACCTTATTAAAAATGCAAGAAACATGGAAATCTGAAGAAGTACTTTCGTGACAATAAGATGAAAATAGGAAAAATCTAGCAGTTTATATTCATACTAAGAATGTTAAGTGGCCAAATAAGACTACTTAAAATAGTCTTCCATTGGGAAAGGAGCAATTGTTTAGATGCCATAATTTTAGAACTAATTACTACAACACAAAATTTTAAAAAAGGAAATAAAAGATTAAAAAGATGCCCTCAAATAGTTGGTTGAGATTTTCTGGAAGTTTGTATAGCCATGTTTATAAGTTCAGTAAGTTTTTAGAGATGGAGAACAAGGTGTTACTGTGCTTTCCTAATAACAATTTATGCTCAGTGTCTTAGATTCTAAGGAATTTCAGCAACTATGTGATTTGTAAAATCTGGTAACATTCAGATAAGCACACCAAAACTAAGAACAAAAAAGAATTTATAAAGACTTCTTTATTTTTATTGATAGCATCACTATTCTGTGCCTTCATGCCAGACAATGACAGGCTATTATTTTACATGAGTTCCTTGCAAACAAATTAAAATTACTGCCAAGCATTCTGCATCATTCTTAAATGTCCAGGATATAAAGCAACTAGCATGATGCTTCAAGAGGTGTAATATCCCTACATAAATTGAAAACTCATCCAGTGAGGTGCTGCTATATTTGTTGTTACTGTTTCTTCTTCTTTTTTGTATGTGACGTAAAGATAGTATGAAAGACAATCTCTCTGCTTCCAACCTAATCTGATCATGTTTAGGGTGGTACAAGTTCAAGAGGTTATTGACAATGAACTATTTAAAAAATACATCCAAAAATATCAGGTTAGGTACTGAGATGAGTTAACTAGCAGGATTAAAGGATAAAGAATTATGAGGTACCGAAGGACCACGGTAGTCAGCGATCAGTTATCCTAAGGTGTTATTGTCACAAGGATGGTGATTCCTTGTAGTTCATTCTCTATTTGTTTCAGAAATACATGGAACTTTTTCTAGCTACTTTAAAAATAGGATTATCACTGTCTCACAAGACAGAGAAGGCAGAGCCTCCCCTGGCATCAAAGGGTAAACCTAGATGACATTTTAAGGTTTTCTTCCTACACCAACATAAAAGCACAGAAGAGAATGTCAGCATTACTTAACAGACCTGGTTACAATAAGAGTGAATTAAAATGCAGAAACATAATGTCATTTCTCACATAAACAACAGCCAGCAAGCAATTTGATATTGCTCTGATACATTATGTGGTCAGCTGAAGCAAGATGACATATGTAAATCTTCTTCATAAATCAAAGTATAAGCCCACAAATCCTGAATACAAATTGCCTCACTCACGGGCTGCTCTGATGAAACTGAAAATGTCTCTTCCATATGTGTAGTTTCAGACTTTATAACATTTAAAGAAAATGTTCTAAGAGCTAAAGCTGGCATGTAAAAAGCATAGGAAGAGGAATTAGTAACAATCAGAGCAAAACAACTCTAGAAAGCATCTTAATTTTCATATGGCTCATTTGCATTTGAAACACTGAGAATTCCTATCTCTCTTGTACAAAAATGTGTACATATTAAATTACTTTCCACTTGAAAGAACATTTTCCTAAATGTTTGGAAGATGATCAAATTTTAACTGGAGGACTTGTTTTCTTCCATCAGGTGTGGGGGAGATGTGGCTTCCTGGTATGAGAGGCAACAGTTGATTCTAATAGTGGAACAAGACAAAAATAAGAAAGCAAATTGAAAACAATTCGTATGCAGCTTGATTTAAAGGTGGTAAGACAAAAAGGATACATATGGTACAAAGATGTCAAATGACATGAATTTTAAAATTAGGCAGGGTTACTTTTATAAAAACAGTAATCCTCTAATACTGGAAAATTTGGGTCTATTCTTTATTCCAAGATTCTCATGGATGCATTATGATTCCTTTTAATATACTTATTTCTGAGTATCTAGTTATTTTTTTTAAGTATTTATTTATTTATGCATCCAAGAACTGGGCTGCAGAGGGTGAGAGAGGATTCACCAGAGACAGACTGCAGAAGAGAACCAGAGGATTAACTGAAATACACTGCTGAGGGGAGCAGCAGGTGAGACAGGAGATATCTGTGGCACCATATGTGGGTCAGTTCCCTGGCCAGGGATCAAATTTGTTTTGCAGAAAGCTTTATCGTGCTGAGTAGAGCTTCATAGCACTGAGACTTAGCCCCTTGCACCACCCACAGAGGCCCCTCTAGTCAGTTTTTAAAAGACAGATGACAGAGGACTCCCTGTTGACCTACAGGTTAAGTCTCAGCATTATCACCTGGAAGGTCTGAGTTCAATCCCCACCTGGGAGCTGACCCACATGGTGCAGCTGACCTCTCCTATTTCGCCTGCTGCTCCCTCAGCAGTGTATCTCAGTAAATCTTCCTCCTCTGCTCTCCACTCTGTCTCTGGTGATTCTTTCACTGCACTCCTAACCCTCTTGCCTCACACTTCTAGCCTACATCACAGTTCTATTATGCAAAAATAAATATAATATTTTTAAAAAGATAAACAATAATTCAAGAGTTTACATTCTAACTCATCTTGCATTTGAAATTTTAGTATATTAATATTAAGATGCTGGCAGGACAGCAAGGATTTATTGAAAACAGTTTACTACCGACTCTAAACTTTTAAAGGAGATTGTAGAGATTATCTACTTGGCTGTTTAGAAGCTGGGATCAGGATGTGAAACCCCAGTGACTGAAGACTGAGGAGATCTTTCTATAATTTTCAGTATGGTAAAATGTCTAGGGCAGAGATCTGTGAAAGAAAGCTACAACTTGAAAGGCATTGCTGTCTTGGTCGCTGCCTTGCTCACCAGAGACTTCAGCTGGTGGGGGGCCGTGCGGGCGACACAGCAGCTAGTCAGGCTTTGCAGCTGAAATGACTAGGTGCGTGCTGCTCCTTAGGTTTCTTTTCCCTTTGCTGTCCCTGGGACTCTGAGCTGGCTTCTGTAAAGTGCCTGATCTGTGTCAACTGGGCTGCAGGGGAGTGAGGAGAGGGTAGCACTGTCAAGGGAATGGGGGTTCTTGGAACCCCCCTCCAGCCAGCAAGTATGTGATTGGGGGTCCAGCAGCAGGATGGAGCAGGGCTGCTGTTTATGTTCCCAAGCCAAAGGTGGGGACTCTGGTGAGATATTTTGAAGGGACTAGTGTTTTAAAATACAAGTCACATTGGAGTTCAGACTGTTATTTAAAGAACGTCTTTTCTTTTGGTCACTTAAGTAAACTGTTGGACTTGATTTTCAAACATAGAGCTTGGACAATGAAAGGTAAACTTACCTATGTAACAAAAATTTGGATACCAAAAGATATTGGATACATAGAAATAATCCTAATATTTCATCTTACTGATTAGTTTGAATGTCCTCAGCAAACTTCTACTTTAACTATCATAAGGTTGGAAAAAGTGATTTCTTCCTTTATTGTAGAAATGCTGAGGAGACAAATGACCGATTTGTAGATCAAAAGTGAAAATTTAGCAGACAGAATGGAATGATTTTCAGTCTCTCATAAATTAAAAATTACCCTCCTGCTTATTAAAAACAATGTTTATTTTATATATTTATTTGGATAATATTCATTAAGTATGTTCTGCAGTTCAGATACTGTTTTAAGTGCTGGGGATACAGGAAGAGAAAGAAATCCAATCCAAGACTAGCCTACTTCCATGAAGTTTATTTAACATCAAAGCTTTCTGAAACCAAGTAAAGGATCATCACCTAATAAAATGCAGAATCAATGTCTGTCATCAGATTCAGCATATTATTCCGTAAGATCGGCACTATTTTAGGCTAGGATTTGGTTCCCAGATGTCTGGGTTTCCCCTTTTTGTATCTGGCCAGAGCCTATCTTTGATTTCAGGAAAAGCCTAGGAAAGGCAGACTTAAGCACCATGGGGAGAAAGATATAAGAGTCAAATTTCCTTCATTTAAGCCTTTGAAGCTCCAGAAAGGTACTGGGATTCCTCTGCAGAGACTGTAGGCTCAGAGTTTCACTGTCTGAAGCATTTGTATTTTGGTTACACAATCTGGTAGGTGACATATAAAATCAGTGTAGCAAAAGAATTGTACAATAATTTGATTCAAGTATATTTGGAATAAGATTTGGAACAAGTTTTTATAAGAAAACAAACTTTTCCCCATAGTTTTATTACACCAATCGCCAATATTTATTAAGATAAAAAAATACAACTAACCAATTGAAAGAAAAGGTTTTGGTGTCCACCAAGTGTCACTTGGAAAGGTAGAAGGAAAAATAATGGATCGCTTTTAGAACACTTTAACTTTTGGACAGAGGTACCTGTTGGCGTCTTCTGTTTCTTCCTTCATTTCGTGCTTTTTTTTTCATATGGTCCTCTCGAAAAGAGTCAAAATAGGGGCTCTCCAGGAGTTGGGCACAGGTCAGTCTGCCATCTGGGTTCATCTTCAGACACTCCTTTGAAAGGAGAGAAAAGCAAAGACGATAATGTGGGTAAAGGCCTATTTTATTAGTATGTCTCCATTATACTGAGTAGTAACTTGATGAAGCAAATGGGAGTTTAGAAACTGTCAGTTGATATATTATCCAGTACTTGGAACTTGCTAATTACTAGGTCTGTTCTTCTTTTGCCACTTCAAAGTCTTCTGAGGGCAGAAATGATAAACATTCACTGTCTCTGAAAGGGACTACATGCGGATCAGGTGTTTCTACCAATGACATCGTTTCACCACTGTCAAAGCAAAGAGTTTGTCAGATTTTTCAAAGGGTGGTCCCTAGAATAGCTATAACAGCATCATCTGGGAACTTATTAGAAATGCAAATTCTTGGTTCAACATTAGCCCCCTGAATCAAGAGTAAAGTGGGGTTCAGCGACCTATATTAAGCAAACCAGCTAGTGAATCTGATACTTATTCAAGCTTGAGAATCGCTGATTTAAGGCAGTAGTTAGGGATGTGTTAGTCTTAGTAGCTGAAAATAACTTAATGGGGATGATTGGCGTATTAAATCAGGTAAAAATCACTACCGGCACAAAGAGAAAGTGACATTGTGACCCTTTATATTAGAAGCTATTAGAAGTCACTAGCTCTGTACCCCTGGTGTGGAGAAGACTCAATGTCAATCATGACACAGATTTCTTCTGAGAGGCCCCGATACTTTGGTCAGAGAATGGAGCTTTTCTCATGAATTCAGACTAGGCTCCCTAAAGAATTGGAGCCACCTTGGAACACACAGACACAAGAGGTCTGAAATGTCCCACCCTGTGATCATATCAGAAAGGCTCAGCAACATGGCAGACTTTGTCTCAAGGCCTCCGGTGTCCAAATAATCGCACTGTCAGGAAGCCCCAGCCTGGGCCATTCTTTAGTGCTGTCCCTAGTCCTGGGACAGGCTCAGACCTCTGAGCCCTGCAATGCTGCCTGTCCCTAAGCAGTCTCACCTGCCTTTTGGAGAGGCGCCTGGTTGGTACTTCAAGAAAAAGCCTATCTGGACTCACCCACCACTCCACAGCTACCATCAGCTCTAAGCAGACTGTGCTATGCATTAAATACAGTGACTGGGAATTAGTCTCCTCAAAAACAGGATCCGGACTATAACCAGGACAATTGTGAATACAAACCATTCAGATTTTTTCCTTACAAACCATTCTATTTTTTCCTTACTTCAGTCAGACTTCTATTCAAAGGCCCCTGTTATTCACACTGTGACTTTTACTTCCCATATATAAATACCTATTTAAGTTCATAAAATAGGTGTTTTGAATTTTCATCTCAATAGTATTATACATTACTGACCACATATTTTTTAACTTCTTGGGTTTCTCTGAGACCTCACTTTCCTTCCTCCTATCCCTAGCTACTCTTCTTCAAACCAGTCTTTCCCAGCTTACCTTCTCCACATTTTTTGCTTAGAATTCCTCAGGGTTTAACTCCAGCTTTCCCACTTTTTCCCCACCAGTTTACTGATGGTACCTAACTTCCAGTGGCTTCAATTATCAGGGTTTACCAGAGACTGGTACATGTATAGTACTTTGAGCCCAGAGTTATCCTTTAAACTCTGCATTTACATATACAATTGCCTGCTTAACATGGCTGCTTGGTCCCAAGGGAGTTGTTATGAGTTAAATTGCATCTCCCTAAAATATATGTTGAATTTCCTAATCCTCAGTCCCTCAGAATATAACATTATTTGGAAATAAGGTCTTTGTAGATGTGAGTAGTTAAGATAAAGCCATACTGGAGTAAGGGGGATCCTTCTCCAATGACTGGGAAAAGAATGCAAAGACACACAGAACACCATGTGAAGATGGGGCAGTGACTGACGTCACCCTGCCACAAGCCCAAGAATGCCTGAATAACCTGAAGCCAGAAAAGACCAGGAAGGATGCTCTCCTCGAAGCTTTAGAGAGACACTGGCCCTGAAATCAACACCTTGATTTCAGACTTCTGACTTCCAGAATTGGGAGGGCAATCTTCTGTTGTTTCAGCCAGCCAGTTTCTGGAACTCTGTTTTGACAGTCCTAGGGAACTGATACAAGCACCTCATCCTCACTCCCTTCCTCCACTTCAGTCCTGAGATCTAAGTCATAGTCAAACACTATCACCTTTACTTCCAAACATATCTTGAATCCACTCAATTTCTTGGATAGACTCTCAATCTATTGAAATCTAGCCTATCACTAAATATCTATGCATCTTTATTTTAAAGAGCACGTTTTAGAGCCTAAGAAGAGACATCTAATGCTGAGTGCTCCATGGGGCCTGGGCTGGAACACTGTCCTGTTTGAATCAAGTGAAGAACACTGAGTTGAACCAGCTGGAGTTGAGGCTTCTGAGTTGACTTTCTGGATTACCAAGAGGCTGTTGAGGTCTCAGAGGGACACCCCAACAAGAGTGCTCCCAATCTGGTTTGATTTACAAGGTGAGGGACAGAAAGTGAAAGTGCAAAGGCAAGGTAGAATCCCTTTCATGGAACTTCAAATTTCACAGATAACTCCTTAGGAATCAAGGTTTTAAGAGTCTAAAGAGTAGATGCTGAGATTCAACTGATACAGTAATGTGGCGGTTATGACAATAAAGAAAAATGAAAAATAAAATACTGTACCATTGTCTTATTTTAAACCTAATGAAGAGAACACACATGATCTGCCATAGTGAGCCACTGCATACCACTGATGTTCTTGGCTGGCACATCACCCGCCTGAGCAGTCCTCTCCAAAGACTCTGGCTCAGTCTCATAGGATAACTGTTATGATAGCCAGAATTTATTTGTTGTTAAAGATGTCTCAACTGCTATTAAAGAAAGCAAGCCTTCTTTCATCTAAGATGGGGCAGGAGCCTAAGTTTTAAGAGCATAACCCCTGATGCATTTGGAGAATTCCTGAGTATCAGGGTCAATACTTATGGGTCTAAATCAAATAATGGAGCGACCAGAAATAACTTCACCCGGGATCTTGGACAGGCTCACTGGGCCTTCATCTCTGAACATGAGACAGGAAGTTTTTCCTATACCTTGAACTTTTTGTGCCCTGGAGTTGCCTTCCAGTAAGGCAACTTCAGTAAGCAGAGGAAGGCCTGGACTCCACCTTAGAATTGGATAAGCTTGTAGAGCTTGACATCTCCTTTGACTCCTTGAAGGTGTTGATACTGTAAATAAGTCAGCACAACCTGTCCAGAACCAAGTCAAGGAATTAAGGCCTCCAGGACAAGGTCTGCAGAGTGCTAGCTCAAAGCAGTGGAGAATGGGAAAGGGGAGTCTGAGAGATAACATAGGGGAATTTCAGGACTCAGGCTGACAGAATCCAGCACCCTGGATAGCACCAAGGCAACAACCTGGCAACCTGGTCAAGCACTAGGTTGGTCTACAAAGTTGACTTGAGTTTATCCTACATCCATTCAGTTTCAAAGTAGGATGCTTATCATAATCACTTTAGGGATGTTCAAAGATACAAATTCCAGAGTCCTACTCATGGCAATTCTACTTCTCTACTACTTAAGCTGAGACAAGAAATTGAAATGCATATTTTAAAAAAATCTCCCAGGACATTATGGTGAAGAGCCATTTGGAAGCCACTGCTATAGATAGAACTAAATTGATTTAGATACCCTCCCTGGTATTTTTATTGCTAACCCCTCCTAAATACCTATGAGCATTTAGTATTCACACGGGAGAGAAGGGTGACACTTTTCAGCATGGCTTCATCTGGTCAAGAATGAATGGGCATACTGCCTTTCAGTTGCATGGTGCTTTTTAACTAGGGCCTGTCCTCTGTTTGCCTCCTGGTGTAAGGGTTAGATCTGATGTCTGCATGGCACTGACTTTGCCTGGTCCTTTACTAATTTTTAAATATTAAAAATATCATTTAGGGCCGTCCCTGGTGGCGCAGTGGGTTAAAGCACAGCACTAAGAAGCTAAAGCCACTTCAGCATGAATTTGATCCCCGCCCCAGAAGTGATCCACATGGCGTGGCAGACTTCTCCTGACCCGCCCACTGCTCCCCTCAGCAGTGTACTTTATCAGTCAGCCTGTTCTGTTCCCCACTCTGTCTCAGGTGTCTCTCATCGCCCCTGCACTGGCTTGTACCCCAGTTCTGTATGCAAAAATAAATAAAATCTTTAAAAAAATATATCATTTAATCCAACATACCTAAATCTTATCAGTTCAACACATGCTCAATACTTTTAAATTATTAATGAAATATATTTTTATAATGATTCATGGTTCAAGTGCTCAATAGTAACATGTGTTACTACCAGGTACAGTTCTAGATCTGCAAACTTCAGAAATACATTCATCCTTGTAAATTTGCATAGTTTGAACATATTGAATCAACATTCAAATGACCTAACACAGGCAAAAGCAGCAAAAGTGTCATCACAACAACTCTAATTATATTCTTTTCTATGTCTTCCACTAATTTTAAAGATGTTGGAACTGCTGCTATTTAACCCACCTGGGTTTCTTTGTAATGATTTTACAGTTTTATCATTTTCAATGATCACATCTTACTTTGACATTATTTGCCCTATGGTCCACTCCTCTTGCAGTGGCCAGTTTTGATCATTACTATTTCCAGTCAATAATGATTATAATTGGCTCTTAAGTACCTTCATGAAATTCAAAGCCACAGGATTAACATCTGAGAACTTTTCTTCAAGTGTTTCCTAAAAAACAAAATAATTTTAAAGTCACGTAATAGCAAATAAATACATAAATAAAATATATTAGTAATAAGAATACTTAGAAGAAAGATCCCCAGTAGGTTAGATAATTCCTTTAAAACATTAAAAAAATCACGTTGCACAATTTTATACGATAGTGTCAGTGTGAAAGACAGAAAGTTATCAGCTTAATTTCATAATATCCTGCAATTTACAGTTGGTAAATGTGAGTTCCAATCCTACTAAATAGTACCACAGTATCTGCCTGATAGTCTTACAGGGACACCTTGAGCATCCCTGAACATCCACTGAACTACAGGTATAAGAATACTACAGAAAACAACACACTGATACATACAAAGTTCAGAATGGTGAGAAGGTGGGAAGTGAGCCTAAGGAGGACTGCAGGGGAAGGGGAAAGCTTCAAAGAAAATGGGAATATTCCTCTTTACATACCAGCTATATGCAAATTTACTCTATTTTATTCTTTAAATTAAACTAGTTTCATAGTCTAAGTCAACTTCTAGCTTTGTAATTCAATTTTAATCTTTCATTATATTTAAGAGTTTGATACCTCTAGCAAAAACTTTAACAGACATAAGAAACACCCAGCATATTAATCAAAGAATTATCTGAAGTTATGAATTCAAAAACAATCTTGGTGTCTAGAGAGAACTGTGCTCATGAAAACCTGTTTGTGCAGATGCCACGATCTGGCTTTCTGCTGTCTGTGGCCCAGCATGGTCCTAGCCCCGATGCAGCTGGGTGAGGACACACACCTCCCCAGCAGTCCTTCCGCTCTACACTTAGCTCTAGGCCACATGAAGTTTTAAAGATCACAGTGCCACTTAAATAACACAGACAGGAAATCAATGTTTACTGAATGTAAGAGAGTGAGCTGTCGCTGATAAACTCCCAAAGAAAGGCATCGGGCAGTGATGACTGGGGGTGGAGTTTTGATTTGGATACGAGGGTCATTTTGTAAAAATATACATTGCAAAGAAATGGATTTCACTGATTTGAACTTTGTTTTACGAGCTGAAAAAAAAAAAAGAATGCATTTTTTTCCTAAATAAAGATAACATGCAGTAAGTGTTGCTTATGAGAAAATAACTATTTCAAGGAAAGTCACCCTAGTGTTGCAACTAAAAGGATCAAGGTATTTACCAATGAAACCAAATATACTTTCACTTGAAATCTAATCTTAAGTAGAGCAAGTAAACTTTTAAAGCATTTTCCTGGTTCATCTTACATAATTTTCTCTTTTTCATTTTAGGCAGTTTTTATATAGTTTCTTTGATCTGTGTTACTGGGTCCTAAGGAAAGCAGGAGGCAAAAATTCAAAATTTAAAAAAGAAACAACCCTTTTAAAGAATGTAGCAACACAAGTAATAAAATATCTAAAATTGAGTAACTTACCATGTCTTCTGGTTCAGGAATACTGATGCCATGGAAAAATTGGTTACTTTTAAAGATAGACTGATGTCTTGGGATTAGTTTTCCTGTAAAATAAAACCATGTAACTCAGAAAAAAAAATTCATAAAAATAATATAGTGTTTGAAGGGTTAACTTTTTCTTTTAAAAAATTATCTTACTCTCTTTTTGTCACCATAAATACAAAGCTTAACTTACATAAAAACTGTATTTTCAGAGACCCAATAAACTGGTATGTATCCTCGAATAGTATATGCATTAAGCAATACCTAAATGGTTAACTTTCAAAGTCCAGGTGTGAAAAATATCTTGAGCCTGATGGTTTCCCCTGGACCTGGGGTGAGGGATCACTGTAAAAACATGCTCCTGCAGGGAGAGTCAGTTGTCTATGCTACTCCTGTTGTCTTTCAGCCTCCTCCAAGAGCGAAGGACAGAAAACAGTGAGGAGCGCTTTACATACACGATCTCATTTAATTTCACAGTTGCTATTTGTGTGTGTGTGTGGTTGCTTTTTTTTTTTTTAAAGGTTTATTTATTTGTGCATACAGAACTGGGGTACAGGCCGAGGCTCAGGGGCGACGAGAGGCTTCACCAGAGACAGAGTGGG